GGGCGGGGGGCGGGGGGCGGGGAGCGGAATAACAAGGGATGGGTAGGGAAGTAGAGTTGGCGAGAATAAGGAGAAACGTGGCCCCGCCCACTGCCACGCCACCGGTCCTGCCGCACTGCAGGTATGATCCGTAACTGGGGATATGAGCTCACAGTGACGCGGCCCTTACTAGACCTAGAGCTGACGCGTGGATTAGTCTCTTCTCCTAGTTGCGGTCTGAGTCTTTGATGGTCGTGTGTCGCCTCACTATTGCCTTGAAAGTGGGCGAGCCTGCAACCCAAGGAAGGAGGACGTCGTAGAAGCTGACCTTGATCCGTGGCAGGTTGGTGGGCACTGACTGGGGTGGAGGTGGCAGAAGGCAAAAACCAGAACGGGTCCAGGACTGGATTCTCTCTATCTCGTTCCGGATGCCTACACGTTTGGTGTAAGAAATGGAGGGCTTAGTGGGAGGAGATCGAGAGAGGCCAAGAGTTGAGAATGGATACCAGTTCGCACAGACTAGGAAGTGGGCGATTGGGTGACCTCTGGAAGGGAAGAACTAGAGAAGGGGACGGCGAGGAATCAGCCTGATACCTGCGCGGCGACAGGAGCGGGGCGCAACCGGTGACCCGGGTTGGGGATGACGGATTCTGCAACTGGTGTAGGCCTCTTTCTAGTATCTCTTCTCCCTCCATCCATTTTGGAGTCGGAAATGGTGGACTGCGAGAATCGGGCAGAGGGTGAGGTTGACGGTTGTTGCAGAGGATAGGGAAAGGGATTAGACATGGGAAACAGGACCCTTCTGCGGAGGAGGCAATCGAGTGGGCGGGCTTCTGAGAAATACAGGCAAAGAGCGAGGAACTGTTTCTGGTCCCTGGAGGTCGATATAAGCCTCGGTGCTGCTTGCGGTCCCTGGGGTAGGCATGACAAAGCGCAGAGCCCACAGCGGGTCCAGGTTTGCAATGTCCACACTACCTTTTCGCCCTCCGTCCATCTTGATACAAAAAATAATGGGCAATGGAAGGAAGGTGGATTTGAGAAAGGCCACTGGATTCCAAAAGTTCCTGGCGGATACCCAGATTGAAATTCGTTATGAAGAAAACACATCTCCACCCAGTAAGTTCTTTTGACTCCTCGCCCTGAAAGTTGTCCATTTGCGTTCAATAAATGATAATTAGGCGACAGGAGGGACAAGAGAGTGGGGTAGGGGACCTAGAGAAGAAGTGAAACTCATTTGGAAATAATCATCTTTGATTACAATGTCTTTTTCTGGAAGGCAATGTAGTGCGTCACAGGGTGAGAAAAGAAGCCATGAGACCGGATGGAGGAGAAAGAGATGGTGGCAGTATTTGACTAGCGGAGTCTTAAACAATGGACCTGGTGCCCCACCCCCATACCGGTCCTTTAATTAAGGGATCACCCCTAGCCATTGTCATATTTCTGTCTGCAGGTCTTTAGGGCCGTTCGTGCCGCAGATTTCAAAGCTAAGAGACGAAGACTACTTCTGATCTCTGCAGGTAGGGGGGTACCTGGGGCCCTGTGGTGTAGGGATATCAGGGATCAGACCAGAATATGGGGGACTCAGCCCTCCTTGCCTGAGTCAAGTTCATGAGAAACCTAGCCAAATCTTTAGAAAATGGGCCTATGGCTGGTGAGCGAAGAAAGGAGTAAAGTGGCAACCTCTGGAGGGCTTATCCGGATCCCTCGGCCTAGGTTTTGATGTGAGATGTGGCTTAGAGAAAGATTTTTCTGGGAAAATGGTGGGGTTTGGGGCAGAGCTGGATCTGAAACTTCCCCTAGGGGGCGCACAAAGTCTGTCAGATGGGAAAACCTTTGCCTACAGAGCTCTGAATCTTGTTACAATTTAATCCCTCTTCTTGCTTTTTATCTCTTAGGAAGTAAAAGCAGAAAAGAAAGTCAACATGGAAAATGTCCCTCAGGAAATCAAAGGAGGAGAGCAGGCTCCAGTGCAGAATGAAGAAGATGCCCACCCTTTGGGAGGTGATGAAGGCCAGGAGCCCAGAGGAAATTTTAGAGGGGTTTGGGCTCCACCTGCCCAGGATTTTAGAGAGGATATACCCAATAGGCTTGTCAATAACATTGACATGATAGATGGAGATGCAGATGATATGGAACGGTTCATGGAAGAGATGAGAGAGCTAAGGAGGAAAATTAGAGAGCTTCAGTTGAGGTATAGTCTGCGTATTCTTATAGGAGATCCCCCACACCATGACCATCATGATGAGTTTTGCCTTATGCCTTGAATGCTGAGGTTAATAACCATAAACCCCCTGCTTCCTAAACTTGCATTTTCTTGATGTACTTATTTCTATGAACCTTGATGTTCTGTCATTTTTCTGATTGGAGGTTTCATTTTGACTTAGTTTGTAACTTTTTCTGTCAGCAGAGGAGTTTCATCAACTTGCATGGAAAGATGTTTAACAAATATAAAGTTAATAAAGCAGTTTTAAAAACAGTCTATAGATATACTATCTCATTTAAAAGCATGCGTATTATATATTAATAAATCAGAATGTGTTTTTTATCTTTTTTCTATTTTTTTCCAAAATGAATACACATGTATTTGTGTGTGTGTGTGTGTGTGTGTGTGTGTGTATCAGAAAAAAAGTAAGCAAAGTACTTTGCCAATCAGCTTATAAAGGGAATGGAGACAAATACTTGAGGCACAATTTAAAGACCTAAATTTTATATTACCTGCAGGTCTCTTATTTAGAAGCACAAGCCTGGTAATTATTACAAATATGTTTCTTTAAAGTCAGTCAATTCATCTATAAAATGAACATAATACATGCCTACAGGGCTACTGTGGGAATTAAATGAGATACTGACTAAACTCTGGCTGGCTCTATCAACACATGCAAGGTTTCATCTGTTTAGATGCCCTTCGTATTTAGAAAGGGCCCAAGGGGTATGCTTACCAGCAAATACAGTTGACTGCCAGGTAGGTGACACCTTTCTATACATATACCATGTCTCCCTTCCCTGAATAATGCCATGACTTCTAGGCATTCCTTCCCCTTCTGCTCGATTTTACTTCTACCGGTCCCCACCACTGCTGATATGTTGGAGAGTCCTAAAGGTGACAAAGACCCACAGATTTCTCTGGAACCTTCAGTGGTCCGAATTCCCATTTTTGAAATGTAGAGAATGCCCCCTTTCTGCTTTGGAGTTATACATAATCCAGGTGTTGTAATTTCCCCGGTGCTGCTTAGGGATCCAAACAGCCCTGTATGGCTTTTCTTAGACCTTCTTTCTCACTCCTCTCCCCCAGATAAATCTGAGTGACATTCATAATAGTGTGCTCACAATTGGACTATTCCTTCTATCTTTTGATGAAGATGGCTTAGTCTCCTTGACTCCCCATTCTGTGCTTACACTGCTACAAGTTTCACTGAGCATACACAGGTGGTGTGAGGGTGGCTTTATCTCCCTAAGACTGTTCTGGTCTGCACCACTCTCACCCCAGGAGTCTACAGCAGTCTCTACTCACACTAGTTATATGGATCCAGAGCAATTTCCCTTTTCCTTTGGTTTGATTTTTGCTGTGCCCAATAAACATGTAATCACAGATCAATGGGGAACTGGCCAGAACTAGGGACCTGGTAGATGGACCATTGTTTTAGAATGTTTTCTATTACCCAGTATCACCACTCCCAAATTAGACTGTGCCCTTCTCAAATTAAATATATTGTCTCATTTGTCCTGGTATACTCAGTACCAACACAGGGTCTGGTAAGTTGTAGAGCACAACAGTTGAGCACACACACATACACACACACACATATTTTAAGTGCCTTAATTACCCTATGTACATCAAGCTTTATTTTCCCACTAGACTGCCCTTAACCTTGGCTGCAGGTTTAAATTACATGAGATTTTAAAGTAGAACTCAGGACCTACTCCCAACCAGTCGGATCAGACTCATTAGAAGTGAGATCTATGGGTAATTATATTGTAAAAGCTCCCACAGTGATTCTCATGTAAAGTTGAGAACAATTGGTTATAATTCGTGACTACAATATCTTTGGTTTATTTTCTCTGCACTACGCATGATTGACTGTGTGACCCTAACCAAATCATTTCATTTATCTACAATATATATCTTGTAAAAGAATATCGAAGAGGAGGAATTACACCCCAAAATCAACACATGGAATCCTTTTAAGATAATATATGTCAGTATTTACTCTAAGTTCTCCAGCCTATCAAATGCTTCAGAATTGCATGTGGAGCTTGTTAAAAATACAGAGTCCTTGCACCACACCCAAAATCCTCTGTTTGGTAACCATGCTCAGGTAAATGTATTGTTAACAAGCTCCCAGGTGATTCTGATGCACGCTGGAGTTTGAGAATTACACGTGCATACAACTTAAGTATATTAAGGAAAAACAAAGTAAAATAAAATATAGACATATGTTAATCTGAATTCAGGGAAAAGCATAGAGAAAGCAAATTTGAGCATTAGCAAAAACAAAGAAACCATAAAAGGAAATACTGATATTTACTATTTAAAAAAATATTAAATCTTCCATAAAATAAAGCAAGACTGTAAATAAAAGTTCAAGGTGAGGGACCGGATGTCTTAATTCTTATCAGTTTAATAAAATGTAGTCCCTCAACCAAAGACCATGTAATGCCTCTCTCATTTCAATGTGGGTAACAGATAAACAATAAAATGAATAAATATTACATTCCTCTTGCCCATTTAAAACCTTGATTGTGAGAGTTCTAGCCATTTTAGATTTATCTAATAAGTATAGAGTTTTTATTTACTAGTCTCAGGAAATGTGGTAAGGTGAAAGTTGCAATAAATACTAATTTGCCACAGAATCTACCACTCACTAATAGTATTGGCTTGCTGTGGCTACTGTAAAAAATCTACCACAATAGAACTTTATTCTCTCACAGTTCTTGGGACAGAAGTCAGAAATCAACATATGGACAGGGCCTGCTCCAACTGGAAGCTCTACAAGAGAAGCTACTCATTGCAATGCAACCTCTATCAAAGCCACAATCATCAGAACAGTGTGCTGGAATAAAGACAGACATATAGGGCAATGGAATAGAATAGACAGCCCAGAAATAAATACACATATATGGTTAAATGATTTTCAACTAGGGTGCCAAGACCACTCAATGGGGAAAGAATAATCGTTTCAGCAAATGGTGCTGGCAAAATTAGATATTCACATGTAAAAGAATGGGGTTGGGCCTTTACCTTAAACAATATACAAAAAAAAAAATCTCAAAATAGATAAAAAATCTAAACCTAGGAGCTAAAATTATAAAACTCTTAGGAGAAAACAGGGGGAAAACTTCATGATAATGGATTTCTCCCTTTCGGAAGGGGAATGTCTGTCTTATGGTTATCACCATTGTATTTGGAAGCACATAACTACTTTCACAGGTTCACAAATGGAAGGGAGTTTTGCCTCGGGATGAATCATACCTCAAGCCTTACCTAGACTCAATTTAGATAATATTTAGATGAGACTTTGGAGTTGAAGCTGGAATGGGTTAAGACTTTGGGGGCTATTGTGATGGGATGAATGTATTTTGTATTTTTCATATGAGAAGAACATAAATATTGAGGGAGGAGGCAGAGGGTGGAATTGTGTACTGAATTGTGTCCTTCAATTTAGTAAGTTAAAGCCTTAACCCCCAATGTGACTTTATTTGGAGATATGGTCATTAAGGAGGTAAATAAGGTTAAATTAAGTCATAAGGCGCGGCCCCAATCAAATAGGCCTGATGTCCTGGGAAGAAGAGGCATGTTCACTCAAAAGAATAAAGCCATGAGTATATAGGGAGAAGACAGCTGTGTGCAAGACAAAGTGAGAGGCCTCAGGAGAAACCAAACCTGCTGACAACTTGATCTTGGAATTCCAACCTCCAGAACTATGAGAAACACCCAAACTTTAGTATTTTGTTATGGCAGACCCAGAAGACCAATACATGATATAACAGATTGGTAGTTGCCAGGAGCTGCAGGGAAGTCTAAAGGAGAGAAACTGCTTAGTGAGTAAGATATATTACTTTGAGGCGAAAGAAATATTTTGGAACTAGATAGAGGTAGTGGTTGCACAACATTATGAATGTACTAAATACCACTTAATGGTTCACTTTGAAATGGTCTTTTTTTGTTCTTTTAATTGTAGAAAAATATGTATAATACAAAATGTACATTTAAACATACATATGCATTTATCATTATAATTCACTGGCATTAAGTACAATCACATTGTTGTGAAGTCATTATCATTATCTCCAGAAATTTTTTATCATTCCAAACTGAACCTCTGTACTCATTAAACAATAATTTCCAGTTTCCTCTTCCTTACAAACCCCGGTAACCACTATTCTACTTTTTGTCTATAGTATTTGACTATTCTAAGTACTTAGACTATTCTATCAAGTGGAATAATACAGTATTTGTTTTTGTGTGTGTGTCTGGCTTATTTAACTAAGCTTAATGTTTTCAAGGTTCACCAATATTATAGCATATAGCAGAATTTCATTCCTTTTTCATTCTGAATCTTATTCTGTTGAATGGATATACCACATTATTTATCCATTCATCGCTCAGTGGACACTTGGGTTGCTTCTCCTTTTTGACTATTGTGAATAATACTGCTATGGACATGGAAGTACAAATATCTGTTTAAGCCTCTGCCCTCAGTTCTTTTGGGCATATGCCCAGAAGTGAAGATGCTGGAACATATGGTAATTATATGGGTTTTGTTTTGAGAAAGCACTATAATGTTTTCCATAGCAACTGCACCCTTTTACATTCCCACCAACAGTGTACAAATGATCCCATTTCTCCACATCCTTACCAACACATTATTTTCTGAGTTTTGCCTTCATAATAGCCATCATCCTAATGGGTGTGAAGTCATATCTCACAGTGGTTTGGATTAGCATTTTCCTGATTTGTGATGTTGAGCATCTTTTTATATACTTTGGCCATTTATATATCTTTTTCGAAGAAATGTCTACTCAAGTTATTTGCCTATTTTTGTGCTTTGGTTGAGTTGTAGAAGTCTTTTAATTGAGCCTACAGTCTCAATTTCAACCCTTTATCAGATATATAACTTGCAAATATTTTCCCTAGTTCCATAGGTTTCCTTTTCGTTCTCTTGACTGTTCCTTGATGCACGAAAGTATTTCATTTTGATAAATTCAAATTGTCTTAGTTCTGGCTACTATAACAAAATACTGTAGACTGGGTGGATTAAACAAC